CACCTGAAAAGAAAGGTTATCTAGGACTGAAAAGTGGTGTTTAAAAGAGTCCATTTATCTATATGTTTAAAGCTGGCCATACACCTTACAATTATCTGCAGATTTTCTCTGGTCAGATGGAAAAGGTGCAACAGATTCTTCCATCTACACTTAACTGTGTGGATGGAGTAATCTCCACCTGGGCCAATTTGTTGCACTTTTTCCATCTGACCACACAAAATCTGCAAATAATTGTAAGGTGAATGGGCACCCTAAAGGTGCCCATAGACTATACAACGCTCGCAAGACTTTTGTCTTGCGAGGGTTGTTAAGTAATTTAAAAAGCGTACGATCTGCGGGCTTCTGATGGCTGCAATGCTGAATGGGCAGTGTGCGTGTGCGCACACCGGCCCGTTCGGCAGTTGTCTCTAGATCATGTTAAAAACCAGCCGAAAATCGTACGATTTTCGGCTGGTTTTCCAACATGCTCGAAATACAAAAGTCGTACAGTAGGAACGGTCGCACGCCCTTCCATACACTGCAGGATTCTCGTACGATCGCGGGATTTCCCTCGATTCTCGTATGAGAATCGTGCAGTGTATGGGCACCTTAAGAAAAGATGAACTTGAGTGTGAAGACTCAGCCAGTCAACTGTCTGATGTTTAAATAATTTTGGTACATTTTTGTAGTAAAGATCAACTTTACACATTTTAACGGTCTCATAGTAATATTCAAGGCCTCAGAGGGAGTCAAACACTCTTTGGTTGCCACTTTGACGCAAATAATCCGATCTAATAGTTTCGGTTTTTCCTTGTCACAGCACCCTAGTGAATTTTCCATACACAATAAATGTACACTCTATTCCTGAAGGTGAATACAGAACGTTTGGCAAACTGCGACCTTTCCCCATAGGTCATTGACAGCAGTAAAGATGGTGAGGGGATTCGATTCCTACTGTACCCAAAATTTGAAATTTTGGGTGGGGTTCTGTAAATAAATGCAAAATATACAGGTATATGAATATTTAGCTATTTGTACTATTTATTATTACATATGACTCAAACTTAATTTTTGATACTGTATATCAAACATTATACTAATATTATGTGTCCTTTGCCAGCTACTTGGAAAGAGTTAATACTGTGAGATAGTCAAGCTATCATAACATGGCTTATATTTAAATATGTTGCTTGGAAAGCCAAGTCTTTTTTCAGTCACACCAACAAGTATGAAAGCCAGTGACAATTCCATGAGATAGCAACATGCATTATTCAAAGCACAGACAAGTCTGATTTGCTGTTTCCCATTATCTTGCCAACTCTTGTCTTCCTGTGTCTAGAAACGGTTAAACTTCAAGTACTGATGCTCAAGGCATGCCATCTTTTGACCAGTTCTTTTGGTTTATTAAGCATTTCATTCCAGTGCTCCAGCTCTCGACCTCTGGTGTACATGTATGGTCCAACGACAACACGGCCCAGCAGATTAGTCTCTAAATAAAACAGAAGACATATCAATTGATTGTCATAAGTATAGAAAGATTTCCTGCAATTTCGAACCTGATGGTCTAAAACAATAAACCTTAAAGTGACATTAAGCTCAGAGTTGAATCTTAAAAATGCATCCAAGTATTCTATTAACAAAAATGTACTTATTTCAGTATTACTCCACTTTAGATCATCAAATCATCCTTGAATTCTTGCTGACACTATCCTTCCTTCTAGAGGGCGACTGATTTTGTTCCCCATGGCCCCTACGTGTGTATGTTGTAAAGTAGACACTGCTTCAGGCTTCCTTCCATGATGGACTACAATCTCGCATTTAGTTTACTAATTTGTATTGAAATTATAGTCTTGGAGGGTGGCTACTTTACAACACACACAAGGACCATTGGGAACAAAAGTAGTCACCCTCCAGAAGGAAGAACAGTGTCATCACAAATTTAGAGATGATTTGAGGATCTACAGCTGAGTGATACACAATTGATAGCAAACCTTGACCATGGATGCCCATCTGAGCACCACTGCTTCCAGACTCCCTTACATCCAGGGAGTCTGGTAGTAGCTGAGCCAGGGTGGGCATGCAAGGTAGCCTGGAAAATAGGTTTCTATGTGTCATTATTAGGACACATTCTTAAGAAGGCACATATGTCCTCCACAATATGGTTTTCTATGTGTCATTCTTAAAATACATTTCTAAGATGGTTCCTCTGTCCTCCACAAAAAGGTGGAAAGGATATATGCAGTTTAAAGGTTAATTTGCAACTGTTCCCCCTACCCATACTGTCATATACAGACCTGCTAAGATTCAACTATGTATGTCTAGGCATGCTACTAAAATCCAGGAGGTAACACATGTACAGTTCTTTGGTGCCATATTGCAGAAACTACACAGATCGCCATAGTACAAGAAATTTATTTTGGCTTGAAGTGTAACATGTCTTTTAATCATTATTTACAGTGCACATATGGTATAAAATATGGAATTAAAGCAAACCAGTGTGCACTTATAAGGTCCTAAACGTTAGGCAAATACTATAGGCCATAAAACGTTATGTTATAACTTGTATAGATTGTTTTTGGATCTTTTTGGATGTCTTGGAAGCTTCAATATGCGAGCAGAGACATCAGCCATGAAGCCATCTTTGACCCAGCCTCCAGCCCTTTTCTATTGCTTCTTGAAGCTGTCCATTATAGTGATGGTAAGGCCTGGTTCACACCTGGGCGTTTTACAGCGCGTTCCTACGCTCTGTAAAATGCTCAACATGTGAAAACCAATGATTGTCTATGGGCATGGTTCCCACCTGGGCGTTTTACAGCGCGTAGAAACGCGCTGCAAAACACCCTACATCCAAAGAAGTACAGGAGCTTCTTTGGGGCGTATTTGCCATGCGTATCGATTGGGATACAGCCAGGTAGCCCTCGGAAACGTGCGTTTGTCGTGCGTTTTTTACAGCAGATCGCAGTAAAAACACGCGGCACGAAACGTGCGGCAAACGCGCATATTCCGTACGGCTAGGTGTGAACCCAGCCTTAATGTAGTGAGTTACAGACGTGAGTGCAGCCAAACCAAGGACTTTAAGAACTGCCATACATAGGCACACCAAACCCTTCCCATCTCTGGCTGTGCAGCATGACCAAATAGAAGGCGATGCCAGCCACTTAGGTTTCTATACCTTTACACTTACAACACTTGCGTGTAACAATCAATGCATTACATCCTAGCAATGCAAGAAATACATGAGGAAAAAATAGATCCTCAAGAGTGACTTGCATAGACTTCATATTTTGCACTTTAGAATATAATGTGTGTATATTTGTGCACTTTAAACATTGAGTATATGTGTATATAAAATTATAAATAAAGAATATTCTACAAACGAACAGGTAAATTGTGCATTAGAACAATTAGCAATTTAAAAATGTACATGCAGGCTACTGTTGCCATTCTCTGATAAGATAGTCTGTGTCCAACTGTAAATATCAATCTATATAAGCTTTTGTTTATTTAAAAAATGAATGTACCTCATCCACTAAATTAAACATATTGGTATACACTTTGGCATTCCATGACCTTAGGTACTCCCAGCCTATAAATATATGCATATGCGTGCTGACACCCAGTATCTTTAGAATTTGAAGTACAATATGCCATATTATATATACTGCATACATGGAAAGTAAACATTGTGATCACCTGAAAAGAAAGGTTATCTAGGACTGAAAAGTGGTGTTTAAAAGAGTCCATTTATCTATATGTTTAAAGCTGGCCATACACCTTACAATTATCTGCAGATTTTCTCTGGTCAGATGGAAAAGGTGCAACAGATTCTTCCATCTACACTTAACTGTGTGGATGGAGTAATCTCCACCTGGGCCAATTTGTTGCACTTTTTCCATCTGACCACACAAAATCTGCAAATAATTGTAAGGTGAATGGGCACCCTAAAGGTGCCCATAGACTATACAACGCTCGCAAGACTTTTGTCTTGCGAGGGTTGTTAAGTAATTTAAAAAGCGTACGATCTGCGGGCTTCTGATGGCTGCAATGCTGAATGGGCAGTGTGCGTGTGCGCACACCGGCCCGTTCGGCAGTTGTCTCTAGATCATGTTAAAAACCAGCCGAAAATCGTACGATTTTCGGCTGGTTTTCCAACATGCTCGAAATACAAAAGTCGTACAGTAGGAACGGTCGCACGCCCTTCCATACACTGCAGGATTCTCGTACGATCGCGGGATTTCCCTCGATTCTCGTATGAGAATCGTGCAGTGTATGGGCACCTTAAGAAAAGATGAACTTGAGTGTGAAGACTCAGCCAGTCAACTGTCTGATGTTTAAATAATTTTGGTACATTTTTGTAGTAAAGATCAACTTTACACATTTTAACGGTCTCATAGTAATATTCAAGGCCTCAGAGGGAGTCAAACACTCTTTGGTTGCCACTTTGACGCAAATAATCCGATCTAATAGTTTCGGTTTTTCCTTGTCACAGCACCCTAGTGAATTTTCCATACACAATAAATGTACACTCTATTCCTGAAGGTGAATACAGAACGTTTGGCAAACTGCGACCTTTCCCCATAGGTCATTGACAGCAGTAAAGATGGTGAGGGGATTCGATTCCTACTGTACCCAAAATTTGAAATTTTGGGTGGGGTTCTGTAAATAAATGCAAAATATACAGGTATATGAATATTTAGCTATTTGTACTATTTATTATTACATATGACTCAAACTTAATTTTTGATACTGTATATCAAACATTATACTAATATTATGTGTCCTTTGCCAGCTACTTGGAAAGAGTTAATACTGTGAGATAGTCAAGCTATCATAACATGGCTTATATTTAAATATGTTGCTTGGAAAGCCAAGTCTTTTTTCAGTCACACCAACAAGTATGAAAGCCAGTGACAATTCCATGAGATAGCAACATGCATTATTCAAAGCACAGACAAGTCTGATTTGCTGTTTCCCATTATCTTGCCAACTCTTGTCTTCCTGTGTCTAGAAACGGTTAAACTTCAAGTACTGATGCTCAAGGCATGCCATCTTTTGACCAGTTCTTTTGGTTTATTAAGCATTTCATTCCAGTGCTCCAGCTCTCGACCTCTGGTGTACATGTATGGTCCAACGACAACACGGCCCAGCAGATTAGTCTCTAAATAAAACAGAAGACATATCAATTGATTGTCATAAGTATAGAAAGATTTCCTGCAATTTCGAACCTGATGGTCTAAAACAATAAACCTTAAAGTGACATTAAGCTCAGAGTTGAATCTTAAAAATGCATCCAAGTATTCTATTAACAAAAATGTACTTATTTCAGTATTACTCCACTTTAGATCATCAAATCATCCTTGAATTCTTGCTGACACTATCCTTCCTTCTAGAGGGCGACTGATTTTGTTCCCCATGGCCCCTACGTGTGTATGTTGTAAAGTAGACACTGCTTCAGGCTTCCTTCCATGATGGACTACAATCTCGCATTTAGTTTACTAATTTGTATTGAAATTATAGTCTTGGAGGGTGGCTACTTTACAACACACACAAGGACCATTGGGAACAAAAGTAGTCACCCTCCAGAAGGAAGAACAGTGTCATCACAAATTTAGAGATGATTTGAGGATCTACAGCTGAGTGATACACAATTGAGGTACATTTTTGTAAATAGGTAAGATACTTGAATGCATTTCTAATGTTTAACTCCTGAGTTTAGTGTCACTTTAACACAAGACCCAGTAAGCTCTGGCAAACCATCAGGCCCGGATTCCCCACAAGGCCACCGAGGCCCGGCCTCGGGGCGGCAGGGCGCAGAGGGGCGGCATCAGTGTCCTTGTGGGGAAGTTGCCCTTTCTACATTCAGTCCTGCTTTGTACAAGCAGGACTAAATGTAGAGTGAGGCAGATGATTTTTCGTTTACATGTGAAATCGGCGATGTCATGTCATTGGTCATGTGAACAGTGTGCAGGCGGTCCGTCTGTCCTCCCCTTCCCCTTGCACTTACCTCTCTCCTTTGGTTCCGTCCTCCGCCGCCGAGTACCGAGTCTCTGACTGCAGTGATCAGAGCGGCAGGGTTATAGGTAACCCTGCCGCTCCGTGTAGACAGTGAGAGGCCAGAGCTGTGCTCTTCCTCTCTCTATTTGTACTTCAATGCATTATGCTTATAAATTGTTTTGAAGAGCAAAACTCCTCCCGATGTAATGTGACAATATCATGTTACCATCTTCTGCAGCAATCTGTCCTCCTACGTGGTAATTTTGAAATAGGATGCAGACCAGCAGGATCATGTGACCCAGTTTTTACAGATTTATAGTACATATTTATAATACATTTAAAATTAATCTTCTACTTTTCTGGTGTATGACTTCCAGTATAAGAAAATAACGTTTTATTTGATAGCACCATATGTTTTCTATCTTCAATTTGAAGCATTATTTGCATTCTTTTGAATCAACTGTACCTGCTCATGAAAACGGATGCAAGCTATAATTTCCCATTTCAAGCTTTTTACAGTTAAATCGCAGTTAAATCATAACAAATCAGTTAAATCATAACAAAATTAAAGATGCTTTACTTTTCAGTGTCACCAATCACTGGGGCAGAAATAAATACAAATGAATACAAATTCTTTAAATATTCTGTAATTCCCTATAACAGAGTAATTTCTAGTTATTCCTTCCTCCAGCAGCTGGCAAAGCCTACAGATGGCCGTAGCTGGCATCTAATTGAGTTTTAAAACCTTAATTCTCTGTTATATTCTTTAATTGTTTCACTTGGGAGAGACTTACAGTACAAAACTTCCTGAGCATAACAAGGGTTATAATAATATTATTAATTAGACAGCTTGATAAATACACATCCTTGTGCCGCTTTCATATGAATAAAACATCTGTGCAGTAATTACCCTCATACACTGTAACAAAGACCTGCAATGCTCACTAACGCTAAAATGGGTAATAGGAGAACTAAAAAGTCATGTTTGCTACTGATGTGGGACAGGTGAAGGTTGGAAAAACAGCTGGAGAGGGACACTCAGTTCACACATTGTTGTTTGTTGTATTTTCCATCTAAGGTATTTGAAGCAGAACAGTTTTAACTCGCTGTTCGCAGAAACATAGTGTTCATACTACAGGATGGTTAAATAGAAGCAAGCGTATACCAGCGTTTCTCATCCTTTCTTTTAGCCACAAAACCCTTTAAAAGTATGCAGAATCTTGAGGCACCTAAGGAGTTCCCCCTTACATCTCCCCACTTGACATCAGAGTCCCACCTCACTTGCCATTAGAAGCCCCCACCTTCACTCATCATTTTACTTTATAATCTTCACTAAAGTGCCGCTGCAGCCACATGCCAGAGGGAAGGTGGCAAAGCAGGTCTAGAGGGAGGTGGACTTTAGTCCTCTTCCAAATGCTAGGGGGGGTCCTGGATGCTGCCCACCCTGAATTAGCACCATGCATTTTGTATGGTGCTGGCAGTCGGTCCACTGGCACCATGGTGATGGCAACATTTGATGGCACTCCTAATAAAGCCAATGGTACCCTGGTTGAGAAAGGCTGATGTAGACCAGGGGTGGGCAAACCCCAGCCACCCAGCAGTGTGGCAACTACGAATTCCATGAGGTATTGCAAGACTCTGACAGCCACAGGCATGTCTCCCAGGAGCAGTTCCATGGTGCAATCTGTAGTTTCACAACAGTTGGAGGGCTGGATTTTGCCCACCCCTGGTCTAGACTACCATGAGACGTTCAGTATTGAATATATTTTTTCCATATATTTACATTCCATATAAAATATACCATGATTTTGCTAAATTATCTGCTGACATTTCTCAAACTTTAAATTTGCTTATTAAATATAAAATCTGCTCCCACACTCCACATAACTGTAGTGAACACTTTTTTACAGGTTATGAAAAATGTACAACATGCCCTAACTCCAAAATCATGTTCTATATTATTAAAGTTCCCCCTACCCCTTACAGCTTTAGGCCTCATTCACACGACAATCGGCCAGCACGGGCAGCTCCCGGGAAGGACAGGTGCTGCGTATAATTAGTATGCAGCCCCTGTCCTTCTCTATGGGACCGCGCGGCTGTACGTGTGAATGAGCCCTTAGACCCCAGGCTTAAAGGAGAACTATGGGGTCATTGTTTTCCCCCATAGTTCTCCTTAGGGTAATGGGAGGAAACAAACTAGAGTCCTCCCGTTACCCTAAGCTCAGTATACCGCGAGCTACAGCTCGCGGTATACTGAGACGCCGCAGCCGGAGCGGATCCCGACTTAGATGACGGGATCCGCCCAGCTGCGTGAGTGACAGCTGGCTCTGCCTATCTAGAGGCAGAGCCAGC